CCTGGTCCGAGCACTCACAAACTACAGAGGGAGGAAGACTGAGTGCAGTCCAACTCAGAACAGACTGAATGAGCAGGGCCCCCTTGAACATTCCCTCAGAGCCAGGGGAGGCCCAGGGCAGGATGGCACTCAGGCCTTGGTCAGAGTTCAGAGGGAGAACAACAGGAGACAGGAGCTGGAGGCTGCTGCACTGGCGCCACACTTTCCAGCTGGTCCTGGGCAACGCGGCAAAGCCTGTCTCGGGCAGAATCACGACAGAAGCAAACACTGGGAACCAAAAGCCACAAACACTGCAAAAGAAAAAGCAACCTCGGGAGCTGCTGCCTCAGAACTGGGCAAAGGCCAGAGCGGCCATGTTGCCTGGTGTCTTTGTCTGGGTGGCGTTTTTTGAGACAGCCAGGGCGGGAGAGGCGCGCTCAGGCCCAGGGCTGGTGGCCACAGCTGGAGCTCTACCGCCACCGTGCGGAACCAGTTTCCAGACGCCCTGCGCCACCCCAGCCTCCTTCCCAGGAGGCCTCGCTGTGGGGGAGGATCCACGTTTCCAGGAGCCACTTCCAGGCGGCTGGGGCTGCCCTCTGGGCCTCCTGGCCTTCTCCCAGGGTCCTGAGGGAGACCTGGGCTCTGGCGCTGTGTGGACTGGAGCCTCAGGACCCACAGAGGGTCAATGCAGTGAGGTCGCAAGGACGTGCTAATTTCCCAGAAACAGCTGCCAGGGGCAGCTCTTTTGGAAGAACAAGAACCAGTGCCCTGCTCTAGCCTGCCCCCCCCACAAGACTCGCCCCGCCCAGCCCCACCTGCCTACATTTTTCTCTCAAATGCTGTAGGTGAAGTTTTGGGGAGGAGATCCTTGATGCTTTCTAAGTGAACTTCTACATAAGCGCCACCAAATAACAGCTCTGCAAATGGAAGCGTTCTTGGTGCTCCTCTCTAGCAGATCGGCTGCACTGCAAGTTCTTCCAATTCTTCTCTGCCCTCCCCTTCAGGCCACCCTGGGCTCCAGACAATTAGGCCTGCCTGCAAACAACTGGACACACTTCTGATGCTGCCCTATGCCACCAAAAACTGACCTGTCCTCGGGCTCCACCTGGAAGCAGAAAGGATTCAAGCACAATGGCAGGGTGACTTCACATAAGGGACTGCTGTCTCTTGGTCCATGGGACCTGAACAAGAAGGACCTACAATACCCTTTGCAAAGTGTCCCTCAGTTGAGGTCCACAAACTTGAGCACCGAGGCCCCGCCCCTCAACTTCCTGTGAGAGCACCTCTAGGTTGCTGGGAGTCCCCTCTGTGCCCCTCTTTCTGCAGGTTTAGGCTGAAGTGCCACCAGTGCCCAGGTCTCCCTCAGGGCCCTAGGAGAAGGCAAGGAGGCCCAGCTCTGAGCCCAAGGATCTTCCAACTCCCTGCCTGCCCGATCTGCCCAAGTGCTAGGCCTCATGGGAAGGAGGCTTGAATGGAGCTGGGTGAAACTGTTTCCGCACGATGGCAGTAGAGCTGCAGACATGGCCACCAGCCCTCTTCCTAAGAGCTCTTCTCCCGCCCTTCCTGTCTGAAAAAACGCCGCCCAGAGAAAAAGGCTCCGGAAACCTGGCTCCCTGGTCATTTGCCCTCCATGTTGGAACAGGCTGTCCAGGATGCTTTTTTGTGTCTGTTGGAACTCGAATTGAGATTTTCAAAAACTTATTCATTTCTTAATATTGAGACAGGATTTTGCATGTTGGCCAGACAGTCATCCGATTTGAGACCTTACTCCCTTGGCCTCAAGCATGAGACTGCTTTCAGGTTTCATCAGTAACTGCACTGAGGCCTGAATCTCTGATGCCCTAACAGGGCCTTTTTGATGTGCTGTGTTCCTGAAGCCCAGGCCAGGGTGTGCAGCTGACCTGGGAGCGCCCTCTGCTACTCACCTGAAGCACTGTGAGGCTTTTCTGTAGCTACATCAGCCACTGAGAAGAGCCCTTCCTTGCAATTACTGAGCCCCAAAGAGTGGGTTTCTTTCATGGACTATAAGCCGCTTGTGGATCCTAGGGCGCCCCCTCTACCGCTGGATGTGAGCCCTCCAGTGGAGGTGGACGACTATCTCTTCCCTAGTGCCCTGTACTTCCAATAAGAGAAGATATCCTACAGAAATGAGTTTTTAATATGCAAAGTGTTAATATTCTGGAAAGGGGTCATTCGTTCAACATTTAAATAATCTCAAAATGAAAACTGTACAACTCAATAAAATAAACCACCTCTGATATTTGTCAAGGAAGAGCTCGAAAAGAAAAAAAGGAGCTAATGCAGGCTCTTGAAGGTCCCAGCTTTGTGTTCTTGGTCCTTGGAGCAAGAAGAAGCATACCCTTTCTTTTTTTCTTTCCTTTCATTTTTTTAAAGTTATATTTAGAAATTTATAACTTAAAATACTTAAGAAAAACAATGATTTTGGTTACCAGCCTCAGCAGGTAAGAGTGAAAAGAAATTTGCTCCATATAAGTAGAAGAAGAAAATAAAGGGGTGAAAATTGGTATTAAAAATCAAGGCAGGGGCTGGGATATAGCTCAGTTGGTAAAGAGCTTGCCACGCATGCACAAGGCCATGGGTTCAATCCCCAGAATCACAAAAAAAAAAAAAAAAAATCAAGGCGAAAAAGAACTACAAGGAGGGCTGGGGTTGTAGCTCTGTGTTAGAGCTCCTGCCTAGGATGTGTGAGGCCCTGGGTTCAATTCACAGTATTAAATAAATAAATAGGACTACAAGAATTACTATAATCCTTAGCAAGACTGAAGTAAAAGTAAACAACTATTATCAGAAACAAAAGATGCCACAGATGTTAAATATGAGAAAATATCCCGAACAACTCTGTGTATGGTACGGGGAATTGAACTCAGGCGTGCTCTGCCACTGAACTAGACCTCCAGTTCTTTCTCTTTTATTTTGAGACAGGGTCTCACTGGGTTGCCCAGGCTGGCTGAATTTGTGGTTCTCCGACTCTAGTGGCAGCCCCTCCTCCATAGACAATCTTAATTAAGCTTCTCCAGAAATCTTCACCAGAATTGAGTTCAGTGTGGTTAAACTTCCTATTTGCTGTTGGTGTATCTTACTGGGCCACTGACCTGAAAGAAATCACCACTCCAGGTGCTGAATGCCCCTTTACTAGTTTTTCACAAACATTTATGGAATATCCAGTATAGTAGTTTGCACAGTTTTGCAAAGTGTAAAAAAAAAAAAAAGAAGCACAGATCCGTACATGTGTACATTTCAAAGATAATAGAAGAGGATACTAATAGGGTTCCATGATAACAGCTGGCAGGGGCAAGAGAGGGGAGAAGATGCTCTCCCCTTCTCAGGTGCTGTCCTTGAAGGGTTAACTTGCCAAGAACAGTGAAAGAAAAAGCTGTTTTTGTGTGAACTTCTACAGGCTGTGACCTTCTGAGCCCCTTCCCTTACACGCTGGGTATGAAGTTCTGAAACTGCCTGAAATCGGGGTTCAGGGCACTGGTCGATTACAGTGAAATCTTCACCCTCTGACCCTGGCTGCAGCCAAATAACCCTGCTGCCTGTTTCCTATCTGGTGTCCTGCCTCATATGTCTCCTACAACACTACCTCCACGTGCTAAGGTGCGAGAACTTCAGGCTTGTGCTTCCATGTACGGCCATTAACACATTTAACAACTTACTCGAAATGAGCAACTTAAAAAAGGAAGTTTCCAAAAACTGACAGAAGAAGAAAGAAGCAGGTGTGGTGGCACACGCCTATGATCTCAGGAGCTCTCCAGGCTGAGGCAGGAGGTTCATGAGTTCAAAGCCAGTCAGCAAGTCACTGAGACCCTGCCTCTAAATAAATACAAAAACGGGCTGTGGATGTGGATCAGTGCTTAAGTGCTCCTCGGTTCAATCCCCAGTACAAAAAAGAACGAAGAACAACAACAAAAACCAGAAGAAGAAGTGGAAAATCTGAATACACTGCATATACTGATGATATTCATAACTGAACGGAATTCATGGTTTAATGCATACCTTAAAACCTGGGGATATAGATAGCAAGTCAAGGGATGCCCTTTCTTGATGTCACTGTGCATGTGGATCCTTCCTCGCAGTGTGAGAACAGCAAGGACAGGTCTGATCTGGTAGCACCTCTGTGCTTTTTTCTGGTGTCCATCATTA